GATAACCCCAGAAGTTCTAAAGCCCATCCAAAAAGGAATATAAGTCAGTTGCTTCTATAAAAGAAGGTAAAAAGCCAAAAGAAAATGCTTTCTCTTGCTCTTGTAATTTATAAGCGGCGACTTTTAGGGTTTTTGGGAGTTCTCTCTGAAGAATTGAAGAAGAAGATCCCAAGAAGAGAAGTGACAGTCCATGAAGATGCTTTCCACACCAACAATGATGATATTCTCCATCTTCATAAGTAGCTAAATCCTTGCTTAGGGCATTGATGTAACCCGAATTCGATTAAAATGATTTGATTGTTCTTAACTTTGAGGATTTTTCAATATTTATGTATATTGATTACATAACTACGAGCAATTGATTTAGATCTTCTAAGCAATTGGGTTTTTAATGTTATAAAATTGGTTTTTGATAAAATTAATATATTGTCTTAGAATTATTTGTTCATTAATCAGATTCAGTCTATTTTTATTGTTTGAGATTGGCGACTAAGGGCTTCTCATGACAATAAGAATAGTGATCATACAATGGTGCTTAAACCGTTTTTATGAATGAATGTTTTGATAGTTTATACTTAAGGAATATGAGTTATTCTGTAAAATTAGTTTAGAGTAGGTAGGTAAATAATTCGTGCCAACCGAAGATAGGTTATTCTTAACAAACATTCATGATTTATCTTCTTAATAATTGAATTGAATTGAATATTAATTCTTTTAATTCCTGATTATAAATAAATATAATGAAATCCCTAAGGTTGAGTCAGTTGACCATATCAAGAGTTTAGAGTAGGTAGGTAAATAATTCATGCCAATCGAAGATAGGTTATTCTTAACAAACATTCATGATTTATCTTCTTAATAATTGAATTGAATAAAATGTTAATTCTTTTAATTCCTAATTATAAATAAATAATGAAATCCCTAAGGTTGAGCCAGTTGACCATATTAAGAGGTTCGTGGTGAAATCAAGCCCTAAGTACTTCTATCCTTGATCTCAGTTTATTTTATTTTGCTTATTTTCTTTTCATGTTATTGAACACCATCACAATAAACACAATTTTTCTCTAAATTAAAATAGCAATTAATTTTAGACTTGATAAACCACCGCAGTCCCTGAGGTTCGACACCCTCTATATAGCCCTATCCAACAAAGGATTTGTTCTATTGCGAGTAGTCTTTTATAATTGAAAAATAGACACATCATGTATAAACATATAATACAACTGTGAAATGACCATAATACCCCTACAAATCCCTGTAGTTAATTTGCATGTGTTGAACCTTAGTTTACAAAGAAAAATAGCTTGAGCAGGCTGAATGGCTGCAATGTACTATCTTAAACCATTGTGTAATTGTGGCACAAGATGGTAAAAGATAATACTACCCCTTTGTGATGATTTAAGCCAATGTGCACCATAATGCTGATGGTATAAGCCTTTGTGAGCTCTATTACACCAGTTTTTTTTTACATTAAATAGGCAAACACCACCTGGTATTGATTAAGACCAACATAACTATCTTTTAGTGCACCAGAATCAATCACACATCTATTCAACTTTATAGAAAAGAGTTTTACCAAAAGTAACAACATAGTTTGTATAAATCAAAAGATGAAACAATAATAAGATTGCATATAACATCTCTGCATAAATATAGTTCTATAATATTAAGCTCCCCTCAATCTTAAAATGCAGATGCACCACAGACTTAGCTACAACCTTGACACCGGATTCCAAGTATGAGTATATCTTCACATCATTGAGTCTTCTGGAATCTTAGAATCCTTGCAATGAATTGCAAACATGTTAAGTAGCTCCAGAATTTATACACCAGGTATTCATAGATTCAACCACATAACATGGCTCAACTCAAAGATGACTATACATATTCATTTGCCATGTGCTTGCTTAGATAGTTCTTCCTTTAATGCTTCGGTTGGTTGCAAAGGAAACTGTTTCTTTCGCCCTCAACACGAACTACTTACTTCACCTTAACCTCTTAGATCTATATTTTGTTCTAGCTCAATCCTATTGTTATCCTTCTTCTTTCTTTCGTTACTCCATTTGGGTCTAGAAGAATATAGCCCAAGCTGGACCCATCTTGATAGAAGCCTCCATACTCTTGTGTTGGGTTTATTTCCTTCTATATGGAGGAAAGCCCAAGTGGGTTTTATTAAAGCTCAAAGCCCAGCTCTTTAGGGTAAATAACCCTAAGAAAGTCAGAATAAAAAGAGAGAGAGGTTAACCGCAAGTTTCAGAAGAAAAAGAAAGAAAAAACACAGCTTTTTTCCATTATGCCCAGAGTTCATCAAACGTCCGATCCAGCTTCGTCCGTGGTCCGATCGAGCTAAAATTTGGAGGAGAGGTTTACGACTCAATGAGTTAAAAGCTGAACGGTGGAGATCGGATTTTGAGCTCAGGAACAGTGATTTGTACCCGTGAACGGTAACCGGGTTTTGGTTTTTTTCAATTCTGCCCAGATTTCATCAAACGTCCTATCCCGCTTCGTCCGTGGTCCGATCGAGTTGAAATTTGGAGGAGAGGTTCACGACTGTTAAAATCTAAACGGTGGAGATCGGATTTTAAGCTCAGGAACAGTGATTCGTACTCGTGAACAGTAATCGAGTTTTGGTATTTTTTCTCTCTAATTCTCTTTGTTTTTGCCAAGATTGTTGATATCTTGATGAGATGTATTGTAACCTTTAATTGCGATTAGAGAAGACTTTGTGTACCCATTATTTGATTGATAGTGGAGATTTTAACTGGACTAGGTCCCGTGGTTTTTGTTCCTCACATTAGGAAAATTTTTCATGTAAAAAATTGCTTGTGTTCTTGTGGCTTAGTGTGATTATTTTTTTTTTCTATTATTTTCAGCACATATAAAAGTAAAGATATACTATATTTATTTGTATATAAGGAGAAGAATTATTCCGCTATATTTGTTTATTATTATCTCTCTCTATATCTTAATTATCCCTTCGTTTGTTACCATCACTTTAATGAGTTCAAAGAATGTGTTCTCACACTAGTTCATTACGTAGTTTGACTCTAAAACAATCCAATAAGTTTGGTAATAAGGTTATAATGAAGCCAATTTAAAGTTTACCGTTCAAGTCCGCGCCATCCATCTACAGTTCATTAAAAATAAAAAAATAAACAATTGATTTTAAAACGTGATCTCTAACTAAAGTTTAGCCATTTTTTAAGATAATTTTGAAAGTCAAAATACGTGGAATAGAGCGAAGATAGACACTAATTTCCGGAAAATGAAACAATTATTTCAACTACCAGTACTTTTGAATAATTAATTGTCTGGTTAGAAGTAGTAGAAAAAAAGACAAAAACAGAAAAAATATGTGGTGGAGAAGAAGGCGTTGGAGGACAGGACATTATATGACATGACAGCCGATGTCAACTATATGTACAGAGTAATGTTAAGTCGTGGAAAAATTGTCGTTGCATTGCATTTGCAACCTCAATCAATGCCGTCGTTCTTGCACCACATGATAAAGTTCATTTTCCCTCATGTGCTGTGCTCGTGTACTTCTCTCCGTTTGTCTGTTTATTGATTGAAAACTTAATAGTAATTAGATTTTTTTCTATCATGTTCGTACAAAAAAATTCTACATGGACGAACTTAGTAGTCAAAGTTTTGAAACAAATCTTAGAACATGTTGATGCGGATGTAAAATAATACTAGTAGTACTAATAATAATGTAGAATTTTTTTTTATTTTTTATTTTTATCACATGTTCGTACAAATAAAATATATATATATATATGGACACAAAAAATAGTACTTGAGTCCTAAGTATACAAATGCATAGCAGTGGTAATGAACATAAATAAATTTTAACTTTGTCCAAATTAGATATAATACTATGTAATTAGTGCACTTATTTATTCAATGATAAAATGATAGTGTGAGAATGTTATAAAAAATATTAAAAAATGATATTATTGAATATTCAGACTTAAAATGATGTAATTATTCTAAAATTTTAATTTAAATAAACGCCATTGATGCTCTTATTTGTTTTCATAAAATAAGTCTCTTTTCCCTTCCTTATTTATAGTTTCCAAAAAGTATGCCTTTTTTCTTTCTTTTCCTTATTTTTCTGTTTTTCAAAACCTCTTTCCTTATCTTTTTAGTTTTCCATTTATGGTTGCATCATCTTCTTCTATTCTTTCTATGGTTGCATCATCTTCTTATTTTCTTTCTTTTTTTCATTTTCAAATCAAATTTCATGGTACTCAAATATAAGAATTTGATTTGTACAAAATTTACAACAAAAATTAGATTTTTTTTTTTTTTTTTTTAATAATTTTTCAATACTTTGCAAAAAAATTTAAAATTAATGTCCTTATTTTTGTTTCTGAAAGTGGATAAATCATCAACTTTGATCATTATAGCCATTAACAAATACGTATCAAAGATACAATATTTTATATATAACGGGATACACAATCTAATTATATATAGGAAATATCTGAAGTATTTCAAGAGTTATTATAAAGATATAATGTGATGTATATATATAATAGATACATAATTGGATGTACATGGTGATTGAAACTTTAATTGCCAACAAATATACTAAATTAAGATGAAACCTAAAAAAGAATTTACATAGGTTTCATCTTAATTTAATTAAAATTTCATCTTTTTTAGATTCCATTATTTTTAACACATAAATTGCTATATAAACGGGTGAAATAACAACTTTTTATTTGTCAAGCTGACTAGCATAACTCAAAAATATTATACAGCATTTATTTTTGGAATGAGAGCGTATAAATAGAAGATCACAAAATTTTCAGTGTTAGTAGGTAGGTGAAAAAATTGGCGCCAGAGTAATTTTGTAGAGCACTTAAGAATAAAGTAACCTTATTATTATTTATTTATTATTTTTATTTTTTATTTTTTTGTCATTTTATAATAATTATTATGTGATCCTTAAAAAAAAACATAAATATAATTCATGTATTTGTAACTTTGCATTGATTTTCCTCCCCTCCATTGTCTGCTACTGAGTATCTTCTCTCTAACCTGTCCGCCCTCAAACTGCAATATCTCCCTCTGGGCTGTCTCTATATATATTCCATCTAATTTACTCTCTCACAATCAGCACATGTGCCGTCTCTATCACTATAAATACTCTGTCCAACTCTCATTTACCCCCATCAGTATAAATACTCTGTCCCTCTCAGTTACCCCATTCTCACAACTTCTAGAGAAGCGGAGAAGGAGATACTATTTCAATATTGGTCTCTCTCTACTTCAACTTGAGAAATTGAAGAATCAATCAAAGAGAGAGAAAGATGGCTGAGGATGAAGTTACTAGTACTGGTGATGAAGTAGTGAGTGGACCGATTCGTCGAGTTCTCCTCATTTCTGCTGGTGCCAGTCACTCTCTTGCTTTACTCTGTAAGTTTCCTTTCCCTTCTCTCTCTCTCTCTATATATAAACATACATGTATGTGTATTGACTTTTCAATTTCTTAATTTGATGCGAAAATTGTATCAATTTAGTGTCTTGATTTTAATTTCAATTAGCTTTCTAATTTTAGGGAATGCCAATGGTTGAAATTTTGGTACATTTCTGATTAATTTTATATTCTCATGAAATTAGTTATGTTTCTCTTAGTTAGGTTCTATAATAATGTAGCGCTGGTATGGCGTTTGTAAGCTGATCAGTGATTGTGAAGATGCAAGTTTCACTATAAAATCCTTATTAAATCACGCTTTTCAGAGCGTCAAGAGTACTTTTACATGCAAAACGACTATGCTACCCTTTTGATATGCTGATGACTCAAAAAAATGGTGTCTCACTTGTTAAATGACAAAAAGGGTGACCCATTTTAAGTTACAAAAATGCCCACTGCCCATAAAAGAGAATATATGCCAGTAAACTGTGTCATGATGAGTTTGAACAGCATTCCACTTCCACACATTCTTAAAAGAGAATATATCAGTCCTCCAAATAACATAATCAGAAGCATGATGGATAGGCACTGAAGACAGAAAATTTCTAAGTTGTTGCAAATGTGGAATGGAAGAATGAGGCACAGACCAAGAGCGCCATTACTGATTATAGCAGCCACCACTGCGTTCTTTGGAAGATTATGGTGTCTGTAAATCCTATTTCCAAACTTCTCTAACAGAGTGTGTCCATAACACATCAGTAAACAAATTAGGGGTGATAATAAAATAAAATAAAAAGTAAACAAATTAATGGCACTACCATCACCCACTTTAAAAATAGAATCCTGTTTCATAAAATCTCTCATATCAAGCATATACTTCCAAATAGTACCTGTACAGATATTGGGGTTCGAGAATTATGTTTCTATGTTTGTTGAAGCAAAACTGATCTTATGCTTATTGCATAATCCAAGTCTATCTTCAACTTAAAATTTAATATCAAACTGGATGCATTGTGATAGACAAACATATCTTCAAATGTCATCTTATATTGTGGTGTTTTGAGGCTAGACTTCTCGCGACCACCATGCTTATGGGGTTCATTCACTGGTATACACAATAGAGGTGGTGAAGCTACCGATTGTGATGGTGGTACATTTGCCGGAATACACCAACTAGTGGTGGTGGTTAAGGAGGTGGAGACGGTGAAGGTTATGGGGGTCTGGATGGTGTGGTGGTGCTGCCGCCGCCGATTGTAGGGGTTGTGCCATTCGTTGTGACTTTGTAAGGTTGTGAAAGAGACGTAGGGTTTAAAATTTAAATTTACTAAATTAACCTTTATCAAAAAGATAATTATAGCTAATGTATCAATGGTATATTTGTTCAAGAAAACATGGGGACAAGCTTATCATCCCATGAAGGCGGGGATGTTAGCTACCCCAAACCACCCCCCCCCAACACACAACACACATATATGTATATATACATATTAGCTAGAGAAAGTAAGAGATGTTTTATTGAAATAATTAGGGGCACTTTCGTCTTTTAAGAAATTTAATATTTTCTATTTAAATACATTAAATAAGTGAGGGCATAAATGACATTTCACACCTTTTTTAGATGGAAAGCTGACATGGGGTCTAATTGAAAGTTAAAAACAAAAAGACTATCTGTGTGAGATTTGACCTAACCTGAGGGGGTGTCAGTGTAAATTTCTCTTACAAAATCTAGCGACAAAAGAAGAAATTGCTTGGAATGTCAATGAATTCTATAATTTTCTGAAAGTGTTCCTACTTGCATTGCCATGGAAAGCCCTAGCGGATGGTAATTCTAGGCTTGTCCATTCAATAATGCAAATTGAAGGCCATTACCAAGTGAGAGAAGGCTGGGCTCAAATCCAACCTCTGATGGTATTTTGCACAAAGTGGCTATTCTTATACTTTAATACATGTCTCACGCATATTGTTCATTGCATATCATCTTTTGCAATGGTTGCTGCTCTCCAATAATGCAGACGCATATGTTTGTTCTGTTTTTTGTTTTCCTTATTTAAAGATAAAAGTAATATTGGCCGATGCATGATCGAGTATGAGTAGTTTAGACCTGCATTTGTCTATTTGGTGCCTTGATGGACTTATGATTAACTTAGATCTGCAGTTGTCTTCTAGGTTCCTTGATGGCACTTAACATCTCTGCCACTTCAACCAACAGTAGCATGATATGCCTTAGTGATTTGTTGTGAGTCTAGTCTTGCTTTGCTCTCAATGGTAATGTTTTACGGCTTTGCAACATTTAATCCCTGTTGGTTCAGGAACATTTGTTAGAATGTGTCAATTTGCAATTTATAATTTATTTGTTGTTCTTAATTTGTTTTATTTTATTATTATTCTTTTTTTAAGGGGAAATGTGCAGTTATTGGTATCAGTTTTTTGAAATTTGATCACTTACTGGAATATCTAGCCCCATGTTAACCTGGAGGCTTTTACAGTTCATATAGAGTCATTTGGTGCATAGATCTGTCAATACATAAGTAGGGAGGCCACTGATTTTTCTCATAACATAATATGAAAACGCAGTCAGCATTGCAGTGGCCCCAAGCTGTATAGAGGCTGACGGCCCGTCCTCCTTAACACCGTTGATACTTTGATTTTGTAGATGTGATGGTTGATATTGATGTATGTGACGACTTTTTGTGTTAGTAGTATATTGGTAAATTCATACGGAAAGCGCAATGGACCTTTTCTTGTGGCCTAATTGGCTATCACGTGATAAGAATAATAATTTATAGCTTCATAGTGAAATAAAAAAAAGAAAAGAAAAAATGCTAGCAGTTGGCATGGTTATCGTCTCCTTTATAAGATTTAAAATTTATGTAAGGAAGTCTATTTGTTTCTAAGCAAAAAAAGAAAATAACGAAATTTATCTATCTTAAACCTTTTCAACTTGATTGAATGACATTGTCTCCATCCATAGTTGATTCCTATTAAAGTTGATTTCTGATTACTTGTGTTGAGGAAATAAGTAAAGATCTTGATATGTAACAGCTGGAAATGTTGTTTGCTCATGGGGTCGGGGAGAGGATGGACAACTAGGCCACGGGGATGCTGAAGATCGATTTTCTCCGACTCACTTGAGTGCATTGGATGGCCATGAAATAGTGTCTGTTACATGCGGAGCTGATCATACAACTGCGTATTCTGAGTCACATATGCAAGCATATAGTTGGGGATGGTATGTTCCTCCTCTTATCCCAATATCAATTTGTGCTTTTAAAGCTTTGTGGAAAATATATACTCTTTGTTTCGTGGTGTGTAGCGAGTACTTGGAAGTTCAAAAATTGTACTAGTATAGTTAAAAAATTTCCAGATACTTGACTGGGCTGGAATTGAAATTATTTGGTTTGCAAAATGATATATATATAAAATGAACTTAGTGTTTGAATAAATGAATTTGGAACTATTTGCTGGTTATTTTTTAACCTTCATTTTATTATTTTATTTTCTCTGGATGTTGTAATTTATGGTTGTAGGAAAAAACTTCTCTACAAGCTCTAGTCCAAAATTTGATATAGGACAAAACTAGAAGACCTGATATTGCATCAATTTTGATTAAGTTTATGGTGGGTGGTTTGTAGATGAAAGGCTAGAATTGGCTTGATTGACTTTTGATAGGTTTTTAAAATTTTAAAATATTGCTGGAATTTACCTGACAGCAGGACACTTGGGTTTGGGCCTCTGGGGCTGCTAAACTAATGGCCAAATGGGGAAGGTAATGGATTAAGTTTGTAAATTAGTGTTTTGGAATTAAACTAATAAAAATTGAGGGCTGATTTGTTATAAGAACAATATACTTTTATTGCAAAGGATTAATGAGAAGAAGAGATGGTGCTTCCCCCCCCTCCTCTGGAAAGGTAGAAGATGAAATTGTGCTTCTTGTTGATTTTTAAAAAAATTATCTGCAATATGTTTACATATTGTACAAGTATACATAGAAAAGAGGAAAAACTATACAATTTCTGACAATTCTCTGAATATTTCATCTTCTCAATTTGTTTACATCTTGTACAAGTATAAATAGAAAAGAGGAAAAACTATACATGGAAAGAAAGTCAAACAAATCCCTACAATCCTCTCCCTAATCTGCTCCTAACTTATAATAATTATATTAATCAAATCCCTAATTCACAGCAATCATGATAATCAAATCCCTAAAATAAAGGAGCTAAATATGGCATATTAGCTGTCAAAACTATGATCTTCCAACACTCCCCCTCAAGCTGGAGCATAGATGTCTCGAATGCCCATCTTGTTAAGTGCCAAATTGAAAGTCCTGCTTGACACTCCCTTTGTCAAAATATCTGCAAGCTGATTCTCTGTCTTCACAAATGGGGTGCAAATTAATCCTCCATCAACTTCTCGCAAAGTGTCTATCCACTTCAACATGCGTAGTATTAGGGCTGCAAAGGAGCTAAGCCGAGCTTTAGGTTGCCGGGCTCAGCTCGCCTAGATTTTATGTGTGCTCGGGCTCGACTCAGGCTTGGGCGAGCTAGGCTAGGCTAGGCAAAGCTTGAGCTCGGCTCAGCAGTTTTTTTATGAGCTCGAGCTCGTGAGTATATATATATATATATCAAATCGAAGGAAATAGGGCATCTGCCCCTTGCTGAAGCTGCTGCTGGTAACGAAATAGGGCATCCGCTCCCTACTGAAGCTGCTGCTGGTAACTGGTATATATATATATATATGTATATATCAAATGGTAAGACAAAAATTGCCACCATCTTCAACCATTAATCAGATCTTCATCTTCTCCTTCGCCATCTTCAAGTGCTAACCACTAATTTCAGATTCCACCAACAGGGAATAGAGAGAGAGCAAAGTAACCTTGGTTGGCAATTGAGTTGAAGGGAGGCCGGTGCGAAGACCAGTGAGGGAATAGAGAGAGTAAAGTAATCTTTGGTCGTCGGTGGAATAGAAGGGAGGCCGGTGCAATGGCCAGAGGAATTACACGAGTTGCAGAGCTTGAGGAGCATTCTTCGTGTTTCTTGAGACTGTTTTTTATTATCTAGCCTCTGACACGTATATACCTAGATGTTATTCAGGCAGCGTTGGCGAGGGTGACCTCTGATCATATTCCCTTGGTTCTGGATTGTGGCGGGGTGAGATCTTGGAGCACTCCTTTCAGATTTGAGAACATGTGGCTTAGAGCGGAGAACTTCCATGGGAGAGTCAGGTCCTGATGGGAGGAGGCTTCAGTGTTTGGCACTTCGAGTTTTGTTTTAGTTGGGAAGCTTCGGTTGTTGAAGACTGAGCTTAAGAGATGGAACAAGGAGGATTTTTGGAATTTGGAATGGAGGAAAAATAGGGCTCTTTTGGAGATTGCAGAGATTGATTGGTTGGAAGGGTTGGGTGGTATTGATGAGGCTCGAGTATTCAGAGAACAGAGTGCCAGGCGGATATTGCTGAGATTGCTACTCTGGAGGAGATTTCGTGGCGTTATAAATCTAGGGCTTTATGGCTTAATGAGGGTGATCGAAATACGAGGTTCTTTCATAGGCTTGCCAATGCCCACATGAGGGGTAATCATATTGGAAAAATCCGTATTGAAGTGGTAAGAGTTGTGTAGGGAGGAGGAGGTGTGCAAGGGGGATTGCCTCCTACTACCAGGGACTTTATTCCTAGACATTCAGATGGAGACCCCGGCTTGGAGGCCTTGCCTTTGACTCAAATTCTGATGGAGAGGGATGGACTTGAGATTCCTTTTTCTAAGGAGGAAGTCTTCAAGGTGCTAAAGTGTTGTAATGGTGATAAAGCTCTAGGCCGGATGGTTTCACTATGAGGTTCTTGTTGGAGAGTTGGGATGTGGTTAGGGGTAAGGTGATGGGCACTTTTCATGAGTTTCATTCGTATGGGCGGTTTGAGAAGTCGCTGAATGCTTCTTTTATTGCCCTTATCCTTAAGAAGGGTGGAGTGTCAGATGTGAAGGACTTTAGACTTATAAGTTTAGTGGGGTGCATTTATAAGCTTATAGCTAAAGTTCTTGCCCTAAGATTGAGGGATGTCTTGGACGGAGTTATTTCAGAGTCCCATAATGCGTTTATTGGCGTTCGATAGATTCTGGATTCTACTCACTGTTTACACCCTATATTTTAGCCAATGACTAGTTGACACATGGCGAGTTTTACATAAGACTTGCCATGTATCAATTCTGTTTATAACATAATTATCAGCCACTTTTCAGTGGCAAGATTTCCCTGATCGATTCCAATAGAAGGTACTACGACGGTCCAGTGGAAATCATTATCTTCTAAAGACTTTGGCTAAAAACCAATCCAAGGTGGACACGTGGCTTAATAAAAAGGCCACAACTATAACTATTTGCACCATAATCATCGGTCACTTTCCAATGAAAAGTTATTGTGTTCGATTCCAATGGAAGGGTGATATGCAAACGTGGGTTCAATCATAAAGTAACACGTGGATTCATCTAAGAAAGCCATTTGGAGAAGTAACCACCTTGGGACACGTGGCAACCAAGGAACCAAGCGGTTACATGCAAGTGGAAAGTCATGGGACACATGGCAGCCAAGGAAGCGAGCGGTTACATGCAAGTGGAAAGTTACGAGACACATGGCAGCCAAGGAAGCGAGCGGTTACATTCAAGTGGAAATTCATGGGACACATGACAGCCAAGGAAGCGAGCGGTTACATGCGAGTGGAAAGTCATGGACACGTGACAGCCAAGGAAGCGAGCGGTTACATTCAAGTGGAAAGTCATTGGACACGTGGTAGCCAAGGAAGCGAGTGGTTACATGCAAGTGGAAAGTCATGGGACATGCTAACTGCCATTACCAAATTCTATAAATAGGGCATGCTATTGTTACTTAGGAGGCCTGTTCAAACACACAACACAATTATAGCAGCATTTCAATACAATCTTTATTTTCATTACAATGCAATTCCATCAATATGTTTAGCCTAAGTCCTGCTCTTTACTTTGCATTAGATTGTTTTACATTAAAGTTAATTACTTTCATAAGTAGTTCAGTCCTCCTTAGCCAAGTAGCAATCCCCAAGTCATTTTTCAAAGGCAAAAAGAACCCAGAGGTGTTCATTCTAGACCTCTTCACAATCGTCTGGTCTTGCAATCTTCCATCTGGAATATTGTTTGGATCTCTCTTTGGAACTACAGCAGTTCCTGGCACATCCATCCGGTTCCATCATGTTAGAATGTTATATATATATATATGTTGGGCCATTATGTAATTACATTATATTAGTAGGCCCTTGTGTTATTAAGGAGACTTGTATCCCTTATATAAGCCTATATAGGCTTATTTGGTGTGTGTAGGTGAAATATATACAGATCTGTTCTCTCTGTTCTCTCTATCTCTCATGGTAAACAACATGGTATCAGAGCGGGTTGTAGTTGTGATTGCATCTGGGTTGGGTTGTTCTTCTACAAATCAAAATCAAGATCGAAGCCAACTCTGTTCTTCGGTGAAGATTTGTTCATCGTTCTCAGATCTGACTCGCTGAAGATTTGTTCGTCGTTCTCAAATCTGACGCCTTTCGTTTTGCTGGTCGAGGCTTCCTTGGCTGTCGCAAGTTGCAGAAGCTCCATCATCGCGATCCCTCTCCGCTCCGTTGTTAGATCGCTGTTTTTTTTGTTGTTGTTGGGTTGTCGTCACCGCTGCAAGGGCTAGGGTGTGTACTAGCCTTGTTTTTCCATTGCGATTCTCGGGTGCTGAAATTTCTTGTCGGTGGCAGCGTTCTGGTTCTCGCCGGCGCTGATTGTGAAGGAGAAGGGTGGTGTTTGGCTGCAGGAGTGAGGCTATTCCAACCCTGGTTTACTAAACCTGGGATAGTTATTCCAACCCTGGTTTCGTAAACCCGGGATAGCCCAGATTCGGCCCGTTTGACCAGATCCGATCCGACCCGTTATCCGGATCCGATCCGCTCGTACAGATCCGACCCGTTTGCCTAGATCCGACTTGTTCTCGGATCCGACCCGAGAACAAGTTCCTACTCCATTGTTCTGTGATAATCAAGCAGCAGTTCACATTGCCTCAAATCCTGTGTTTCATGAGAGGACCAAACATATTGAAGTTGATTGTCACTTCATTTGAGAAAAGATATTGCTTGGGAGCATCTCTACTCCATTCGTGAAGTCTGAAGATCAATTAGCTGATATGTTTACCAAAACATTGGGTCATAACCGGTTAAGAACTATCT